CAATCTCGCAAAAAAAAGGAATAGAGAAGGTCTAGCTTGTATTCTTCGATAGCACAACCCTAGTTCGAGTCCCGTCTTGAATACTGATGAAATCAAGGCGTCATTGAAAGTGCATTCGGCTACCTTTGGGAAATAAGACCAAGTATGATTCAATTGTATTGGGAGGTCTAACAATCCGAATGTGGGTAAATCGGCCATCAGTCTTTCATTCACTTAAGCAACTTTGGCTGATTAAAGCTCTTATTCTAATAAAGTGTCCAGCCGGTATTACATCTTCTGACAGTGCTCACATGCTACATTTAAACATCGTATCAAGGAATAGATACATTCCCAAAGGTTGTCAGTCAACCTTGGCTAATCCATAGCTAGATGCTGCGGATTCGCCCTGACAACACGAGTTAATAGCTAAAATCAAGATTAAACAGCAATTATTCACATAAACTCAGTCGTCATATCCATGCATTTCCCTCAGGCCCACATTCCAGATGTGTAGATAGGAAGAGCAACTGGATTTCGAAGCATCTCCTGAGATAACGTTATTGTGGAGACTGTAATTTCGTGGAAATGTGCATAAGGAAGGGATTCGAAGGTCGATCTCACCAGAAGACGACGCCTGATTCACGTTGTAATGCAGCCGCTTGGCTTTATTATGACCTTCGGGTGCTATATCAATCTATATATGTACATTTTATCTTTTAATAGTGAGTATATATAAATGGTAAGATAGAGCCGGAGAGTCATCTTTACTTGGTTTTTTTAACTTAAGACTTTTATAAGAATGACTTCCAGCCCTGATGAGGTTCATTGAATGAAACGAGGGAGGATGTTTCTTGAAATGCGTCAACCTAAACGGTCTATTAAAGCCAAACGGCAGCAGTACAACGTGAATCAGCCGTCGACTTCTGGCGAGCTCATCCTATAAATCTCTTTTTCATTTAATTTCATATCAAATGAAGGTATCCACAACAATTCCAAACTTTGCCGTAGACTGAATCCTCCCCTGGTTCCATCAAAAGCCTCTATTCCACTTTGAACTGGATCGTTAGTTTCTTCCACATTAATCGAGCCCCTCCCAGCCGGACTCGAACTGTCATTTAAGCTACTTTGACGTTCAAGTCAAGGCATCTTTCGTGGCCACTTTTGTCTCGTTTCGAGTCCCGCTGAAGAGTGGAGGTTGGGCTAAAACCAATGTCCAGCCAGGAGGAGAGTTGCCAGTTGGGATGTGTGGTACTGTGAGTTTCTACTCTCTGCCCTTTCTTGTCGGATTACTCGGCATTGGCGCACCAAACATGCAGCATCTCGTCTTTCATGTTCGTCAGCCTTGACGTCATGCCTTAAACCGAAGGCTGGAGATGTTGTTCCGTATCACCTGCATCTACTAACAGTCTTAAAAGTAGTCTGTTCCAACAGATGAGGCGAATTGGTGGCGTGTAGTGTGCACAGAGAGTGGTGAAATGACGGGCTTTTTGAAGAAGACTGTGCGCAAAGCAAACGTTTTGCCTAAAACCGACTGGAGCGTGAAAAAGGCAGCAGTTTCAGGCTGGTCGGATCTACAAAAGAGGCAAAATAAAAGGTACAGATCGTCTCAAATCATCGAGGCAAGCTTGCTTTTATTTTCTGTCGAGTCGAGTTCTCGCGTCATGAAGTTGTCAATTTCCATCTGGGCCGTGACGGGCAGGTTCTTTTTGATCAGCGCCGGTCCGATCACTTTGTTCACGTGTTGAACAGCCTTCGTCACGCCTTTGCCCAAGTAGTCACGGCCACCGTCACGCAGCTCCACGGCCTCGTAGGCGCCCGTCGAGGCCCCACTGGGCACGGACACACGAAACAGGCCTACAGGGGGGCAGGAAGG